CATTAAATTTTAAAGCACCTAGCATGAACGTATTTTTTTTCTAAATTTTACAAATACATGAAAAATGAGGGCAGGTTGATAGATTATTTGAAAAAAATGTCTTCCTTAACTTTAATTTTCATATAAAATTTAACAATAAAGCTAAACTTATGTTGACCCTAACTATTCTAACATTTATTTTGAATAATAAAGCTGAACAAGGTAATTTTGATATATTCAGCACATTTCGATGCTGAAGACATATTTCATTATCTGAATGCATCGAACCATATAAATAATTCAAGTTACGAGGATCAATAATACCTGAAGGTACTAAAGCAGGTTCATTTCATTCATCACGTTTTGAATTATCATGTGATTAAGAATGCAGCCTGCAACATAATATGTATCGAATTGTCCATCAAATAGTTCTATGATAAACATTCGTGACCATTTAGGAATTGGATAACATCTAAAATCTTTATAGTATTAATTTAATCTGCTTAAAGGAGAACTGTGAGTTTGAATGAGCATTGTGTTTACAGATCCAAAGTATTATTCATTTAAAATAACAGTTTAAATTTTCTGAATTAACGTAAAGGGTTATGAATGAGGTAATTTTCGAATGAGATTCTGTATGTGAACTGAATGATTATTTAATATTTAGCATTAACAATTATGATAACCACTTTTCGCATTAAGGGGAAATAGGTTTCAAAATCGCACGGTTAAATTACTAACTTTCGGTCAAGATATATTTTTTAATGGTTCATTATATCGATAACTTATTAGTTTCTTATTCACTTAATGTGCAAGGTGTTTTAATTTAATTTTATAAGTATAGCAGGAATTAGACAGTTTTAATAAAAAGCAATTCTTTCATATTTGCATTATTTAAGCTCGGTTAATCTACATTGCGAAAAATTCCGAATTAAATAACGTTATGAAATACCGTCATTTTGAGTGCATCATTCGTAAAATCTACATTTACTGTAAAAGTTTACTGTAAAGTTTCATACCGTAATTTTTACAGTGATTCACCGTAATGATTACAGTAATTTTTACAGTGATTCACCGTAATTATTACAGTAATTTTAACAGTGATCTTAGTTAATTCGAGTGATTCAGTAATGATACTATAATTATTACTTTAAAAATTATGATTAATCTGATTTTTATCTCATAGCATATTCCGGTAAAACGAATTTTACGGTAAAAGTATCAGCACTCTGAATCTTGGTACTTTTTACCGGAATTTGATCAAGAATATATCACACAGTACAAAATACATTTTGTACACATACATGTATGTTTTACACTGAACTATATGCCCTCTTTTTTGCTCCTATGTTTAGCAAACCACCATATTTTTAAACTTTTTTAAGTCGGAAAAAATATTGAACTGAAAGTAACATTTTATTTTGACTTTAGGATTCTATAAGAATATTCAAAAATGAAACATTCTTTTTTTTTAACTTTTCCTCTGATAAGTTTGATAACATTTGTATAATAACCTGATATTAGAAATTATCTATTACCTTTAAGACAAAATACTACAGAGGTTTTTTACAAAATAAATAAAATAAAAATGTACACAATTATTTACAAAATGACGTATAACAAAAAATGATCTAACTTACACAGAATTTGCTTGTTTGTAACATTTACATCAGAAATCAAATTTTATTAGAAAAATACTGTACATTATAATTTACAACAGTACATCACAGTTACTTTCTCATTTTTATAAACAAAAATACAAAATTGCAATATATGCACTTTTAATACTCCATAAAACGTATTATTTACAAGTTAGTGAAACCGGAGTATACAATTTTTTTTCATATGCTGACTAAATTGAGGTGATCTATGCATATAGTTGATTTTTGAAAATATTTTTGGTTATTTACACGTTTTAGAAAGCAACTACTGAACTTTGTTTTCGTAGTAATTATATATTTTGTTTTCGTTATGAAATGTTTCCGTTACACCGAAAACTGAAGTGCTAAGAAAAACTTTTCACTTTCAATTTATGCAGATATTTCAATTTAAAAAAGCTACAGGAAAGTATGCACAAGGTGTTTCGTAATCACTTCCCTTAATATATCTTTTAAGAATTCTTGTATAAACTGAGGTAAAAAAATATACATATTAAACGTCATGGTTTAATATTAAGTGCGGAAAAAAATATTGAAAATTCTGCCAAATTCACAACATTAAAGAAGGTGTGGTAAAAAAAAGAAAAAAGAAACAGTTTAATTTCCCGTTGAAATTTGAAGATGTTTCTAATAGACATCTTTAACTTTCTCTTAGTTTCCTCCGACAATCAAAAATCTCAGATGTTTTTAATTTAACCTTCCTTCCCAAAATGTTTAATTTTCTCATGTAAACATTTATTTAAACACTTCATATTTATACATATTTTTCCTTCACTTTTGATAAGTACTCTTGAAATCTAAAAAGTGTCTAAAATATCTGAAGATGACCAAATATCTCGATAACTGCGAAAAAAAATTCATAAATGTCCGTCAGTTAACATCTAAATTTCAGATTGAAACAACTATATTTTTATTGTACATTTGGTTTTCCTGGGAAAAGAGCCCCAATGTGGGTTACAGATTGCTGCATCTTGATTTTCAGTTGACACTAAAATTACCATATAAAGATGTCATTCAAATTGTTTAAGATAGAGATAATTCTTGAAATACCGGTCATATCACTATCATATCATAATAAAAATTGGAAGCACTTTTCTTCATTCCCAAATGCTCAGAAAAATATTGTGGTAGGCAATAAGTGATCTTTTTTTGTAGAGGGTTTGAGCTATGGTTTTTTCAAGTATCAAACAATTGTACTTTTTTTCTAAAATTTCATTTGCATTTCTTGAGATACGAGTTCACATTGTATCCGTAATTGCCATAGTGTGTGTTTAAAATCAGAGTACTTTTTTCTGGATAATTCAAGTCTGCAATAAATGCATAAAAAGTAACCCCAAGCACCCCCAGGAGTATAGATTGGGGGTTTAGTTTGGTATTATAGAATGTAACTAATAAAAATATTTTATTATTTGTAGATTTTTAATCAGGTGTGTTTTTTTTAGACATTTGACCATTTCCATTCCTTTTAAATGCCTTATATTTACAGAAGAATTAAAAGGGAAGTATGCATCCGAAACATTACCATTAAAACAAAATTAAACTTAAATTAAAAATGATTTTTTTTAAATCTTGATAGCGTAAAGCAGGATTTTGAATTCCGGATCTTTCTGTTAGAAAATAAGCAACCTAACCTAAGAATAACCTAAGAATAAGCATAAACTGGAAAGTTTTTGTTAGTTAAAAAATAAATGGGTTGAATCTTTATCTTGGCACAGTATGCCGAACACACAACTAAGTTATACCATATCCAAGGTTTTTTAACCATGATTTTTAATTTAAGCTTAATTTTGTTTTGATAAAAATTTTAATATGTTGTTAGCATAATTTTTAAGAGATTTCAACACAAAATGCTATTTAGCTCTCAAATTTGTGTTGATACGTAATAAAAGTTAGGTACAGCCTAAATATTTTCAAATGTTTCGCATTGATTAGTTTATTCGAATTTAAATATTTGATTTTGGATATTTATCTGATGCAGAAATTATTAATAAACTAAAAAAAAATTATTCTAGTCACATTTTAGGAAACATTAGACTTTAATGAAAATTTAATATTTAAAGACAATTTTTAAAATTTGTAACTTAAGCTAATTTGTGAAGAAAAAAAACTCTCTCAGAAAAGCAGTGAAAGTGAAACCTGAATTAGTTACGGTGAAAACAATGTTACCAATAAATATATACAAAAGCAAATTATATTTAGATAATTTTCAAGAAGTTATCTTAGCACTTCAATTCTATTTTTTTTAAAAATGAAACTTACTAAAACTTTGAATTTCGCTTAGCTCATATAATAACGTAGTACGTAACAAGGAGAGTCAGTCACTTGAGTGTATTGGAATGCTTTTAGTATTATTTCAGACAACTTTCAAAATAATCTGTCAAAATAATCAATTCAACTTTCAAAATAATCTGTTTAGAAGCATTTGCATTTTTTATTTAAAAACTTCATTTTTTTTAAAATCTTAAATATGCCTCAGTAGGAAAATATAAATTTCTTAAGCGTTTGAATTTATCATCTAGTTTTTATTTTGCAACCTTTATTTGATTTGGCAATTTTTTGATCTATCTTCACTACATTATTTACACTTCTTTCTAATCAAAATCTGTAATTAAAAGCAGTGATGATGGTGGTCTTTTCTTAGGACAAAATTATGAGTATTTAAAAGAAGTTTTCTAAAATTGCGCCGTTCCTTAGTTTTTGATAATTTTTTTTTAATTTTACTATTTTTAATGCTATAAAATGATGGTTTACGTTTAAAATTATTTATGTCGCTAACATCAAAAAATGAGTAAATATTTATTTTTATACTAATTGAAAAACTTTTTCTTTGCACGTATCATTTGAATTTCACAATAGGTCAAGTTAATTGGAAAAGGTTCTTGTACACCTGAATATTATCAGGCTTATTAAAAATCAACTGATATGCCTTTATGCTAAGAAATAAAAATGCCAAGAATTGACTAATTGATCTGAATTTACTTAAAAATAATGCAGTAAACCTGTTTTTATTAATGCTGCTTATTATGAGCTTTCACTACTTTAGACTTATTTTAAACTGCCTAAATTAATTCAGATTGCTTGAGAAATGAATAATAACTTTTCTTATTACTAGTAATACATGTGTCAGACCTAAAAATATTTAAAGCTGGTAAGCAAACACTTGTGACTTATCCAAATAACATAGTGCATCGCAAAATGACAACTATTTCTAAAGAGCCAGATTATTCAAATAATCGACGTCACATATAACACAAGCATTGGAAATGCTTTTAAATTCTTTCAATCTTACAAATCGTCTTCGAGATAGAAGTTCAATAATATTTTGAATTAATTATTGTATGATTCAAGTGCCTGACCTCCTTCAAAAGCAACACGTTATGTTTTAGTACAGAAAAAAAAATAGAACACGGATAAAATCTGCACATTAGGTAAACAGGTTACACGGACATTTCTTGAGCATGTGACCATTGCAAACAATCCGCCGTTGCAACTAGGGTATTTGAGTTTGAGGACGGTGGTGTTAGCAAGGGTTGTGCTTCTCTGATACCAGCTCCTTTTTCGGTTTGAGGTGTCCTATTAGTAATGTGAAATGTGCCCTCGTTGGACTGTTGGCGACTGTTGACCGATGGGAGCGTTTGGTTTTGGAACTGTTTAACCTTGCTTGGCTGGACAAGATCTAATGTTTGGCTCCCATCAAACTCTTGTTGTGAACAATATTGATTTAGCATCATAGATGATGAAAGGTCTTTGACAAGAAATGGCTTTTCACTTGATCCGTGGCCATCCTCATCATCACTACGACGCTCCTAAAATTTCAAAGTGCAATTATAACCAGCATACTTTATCTTATGAAATATGTTAATAATTGAAGATTTAAGTTTTTAGATAAAATAGTAATTATTTATGTACTACACATTTAATATACGAACTACATATTTACATTACAGTAGCATATTCTAGTAACTAAAATGAAAGTACACGCTCAAATTGCATTATAATTAAGTAACAATGTTAGTGTATGAAAGGTAAAATGGAAAATGGTAATGTTCTACATTTTTATTAAAAAAAACTATTATAAATATAATAACTTAGTAATGTAGTAATGAAATAATAATTTTGATAAATATTTTTATTTTCAGTTTGACAAGAAAATCAAGACTTACTGAAAAAATTTCAGGATGAAATTACGATATAAAATAAGGTTTTTTGGGTGCATTATCCGTAAAATCCATTTTCGCCGCAAAATATTATACTACATTTTTACAATAATGTTTATTTAATTAGAGTAATTCAGGGATTTTAAGGTAATTATCGCTAAAAAAGTACAGTATATCAGTTTTTTTTCTCGTAACATGTTATGGTTAAATTGCAATGGTAAAAATGGATGATATGGTAAAAAGTATCGGCACTTTTATCACACTGAAAAAATTTACGGTGCATCAGTTTTTTGTTCTGTAACATGTTATGGTATAAATGGATATTATGGTAAAAAAGTAATCGCATTTTTATCGAAATTTGAAGTGAAATTTTTAACTGTGCAAATGACAAAAAAATTATTTTAAATATTTACTACTTTGTACTATTAAACAAAATATATTTCAACATATGCTATATGTGGGTATTAAAATATTGTAAAAGTATGACTGCAGCATTTTCATGCATTAGCTATATATTAAATGAAATGTTCCGAAATAAGCTTGATGGGTTTACACTTTTAATGATAATATTAATTTGAAAATTAAAGACATCCTTGAAAAAAATAGGTAAAAAATACTAAAAAAGTGGTAAAAATTAAATCTCGAAAATTGGAGTTTAGAATATGGTCATAGTGATTGTAGTGCAACGGAATCAAGTCACTCAACTCACGTCAATTAAGTCACGTTGAAGCTTATTAACAACTGAAAGATGTATACGAAAAAAACGCTTACAGCTGACATGACATATTGTATTTAACTAGCGTAGTAAAAATGATGTTAATGATGGAAAATAACTAACATAACTTGAAAAGTTCTATAGAATATAAAGTATGTCAAGGAAATTCTCAATAGCTAATGAGTATTGGATTAAAGAGAAGAGTTAAAATTTGAATTTAGAAAGCCATTTATCGAAACAATTTTTAGCATCTAACTCATTTATCTGAAACAATTATGATTGAGGAGTGTTTAAAGAGAAAATTAGTTGATTGGGAAAGCTTGTGCTGATTTAAATTAGAATAATTCGTAATTATAGATTTTTCTACAAGTTTGAGAAAAATATTATGGTAACACGTAGTAAATATCTACGAATTTATTGAAGTGAACACAAAATATATTCCGGAATGCTTAGTACGAATTTATAATGCAAAGAAAAAAAAATTCTCATGAGCTATGTTTGTAACGATGTTAATAAAAAGTATATTGTAGAAAAATAAATCAATATTACGGTATAAAGTACCGACACTTTTGGTGATTATCCATCAATTTATACCATGAAATATTATGCCGTAACTTTTGCAGTATGATTTATTTATCTAGAGTGATTCAGTGATCTTAGGGTAATTATTACTGTAAAAATAGTTGCATTATAATTATTACTGATTTTGATCTTTAAATTATTCCGGTAAAAAGTACAATAACATATAGCAAGTAATATATAGTAAGAGAAAAATATGTAGTAAGAGAAAAGTAAACATATAGTAAAAGAAGGAAATATATAATAAGGAATATATGGGAAATATATCGTAAGAGACAAGTCAATAACTTGATCCGGATATCTTTAAATTGTAAATTTTTTCTTCTTTTTTTTTGAACAAAATTTCTAATAATACTTCAATTTTTTGTGCTGCAATAAAGGCAGGGAATAAAGTTATTGGAATTAGAATGCTTCGATTTAGAATTAAATTTTAAAGCTATCAATCACTGGATGCTTCAAAAGTGTATAGAGTTTAGAAATTTGATGTTTAAAACTTCGAAGTTTTCTAAAAATTGTGAACAGAAAATTTTTGATAAATATGCATTTAATGTTTAAAAGTATAAAAGCGTTGCTAATTTAAATACAAATTTTCCAACTATACATATGTTCTAGTGTCAAAAAGAACTAGCTGGGATTTTTGAAATAACTTAGGAAAAAAACAACATAAATAGTTTGTCGTCGTGAATTAGTTACTTTATATTTTATAAACTGTGTTGAACAGCCGACCCGATTCAGAGTTTATAACAATCAATGTTCACCTCCATAGCCTTGTTATTTTGAACCAGACCCAGAAGAAAAAGGATCAAGCTTTGGGAAAAAATAATTTTTGTGGGGGACTTTCTGATGGGCGTAATCCAAATTTGCTTTACTTGAAGAGGAAAACCACAAAACCACCATTGTCAGCCGACAGCAAGGGGACTAAAACTCATGATTCATCTACTGCTGAGGAAATTTTAAACCAATTCTGTGTTTGGTATGATTCGGGAGTCGATTTAATATCCAACAGTTATAGCTGCGATTCGATCACTGACATTCGATCCTGGATCCCCTCATTTTAAGGCGATTGCTCTGCTCATAGCTGCGTAATAATTACTTATAATTTTTCTCTCCTCCTTTATTTTATCATTGTCACTTGGTTATACCATTTTCATTTTTCATTATTTCTTTGTTCAAATTTTTATTTATATTTATCCGGATCGAAGATACATAAATTTTAAGTCAAAATACTGCCTACCTGGTAAAATGATTTTTGAAGTTTCTTTTCAAGACTATCTTTTTCTTTTTGATAGTAAATTCCAGCAAATATAACTACATTCAATACCAAAAGTGTGCATCCAACAGCAATAGTGGCAATAAGAGCTGTAGAATACATTTTTTGATGTTCACCCATTAAATGAGTTTTGTTATTTTTGTCAAGTTTGGACACGATTTCAGTTTCCTTTGAATCTAATTTGTGGGTTGCATTCGTATCACTTTTAGAACCGTTGAATTCCTCAGAACGGTGATCAGCGTCCTGATTGGGTGAAGTTGTAGCAGAAGGAAAGAGTTGTCCACCTCCTCCAGAAGCATGACGCACAGTCCCGTCATAGCTAAATGGGTTGTCGTGGTCTTGAAGTCTGTGATGTTGTACAGATACGTTGACGTCACCAGAACTATGTAGTCTCGGAATTAGATTCAGCCAATAAGATAAGCGGTGGGCATGATAATGATCACGAACTCGAGGTTTCATAGCTGTAAGAATGACATAAAATATTGAGTAATATTACATATAGTGAATTGCAAACAGTACTAAATATTTAGCATGTAAAAAATAGTGAGAACTACTTACAAATAGGACGTTAATAAAAAACATAAGAAAATTAGCACTATCATAAATTAAATAAAATATTTTTAAACGAAAATTAAACTTAATATTTTCTATGCATAACAGAAATTTTGAAAATTACAAAAAGCTGCTGCATAGATTTAGTCACTAGTATAGTCTCTGTGTCAAAAATGGCAAAATAGTTATTACATCTATCATTGCAAATACGAATATCATTTCTCATATCATTTCAACAAACCAATCTGCTCGTTTTTAACAACAAATTTCACTGTATAAAAAAGTAAACAAACAAAAATTCCTTCATACACTTAACATGGATTCACCGACAAGATGAATTTACTGACTGAATTTTACCATTTTTACTTGTTTCAAAACTTTTTCTTAACCATTCAAAAGTTGATAGAAAGTTTTGAGCCTGTTAAACCGTAATATCACTTCAATTTATTGCAAACTTAACATGGTGATCAGTTTAACGAAACCAGAATTTTTAACTTTGGATTCATGGTATTATGGTTTAACTTGAGCAGAAACGTGATTCGAATTAACAACTTTATAAGGTTGTAACAACTGTATGCATTATGGTTTTAAGTATGTGGATAACAAATACTAAACTTTTTTTATAATAAATATTAAGTAATGCTCGCATAAAGGCATAAAATTTAAACAAGTATAAAAAACAGTAAAAATGACAAAATCATTAAATTGAACAAAATTGTATTTCTACAAAAATGAAAACTATAAATACAAATATGATATTTATCAAAAATTAGGTTTTTGTTTTAAGTTTCTTTTAAGATAATTATTCGTTTGTAATTTCTTTTAATAAGAAATATGAGATCAAATCTTACATATGCTTAAATATTTCTGATGCACAGGTTCATACATCGGCCATGTTAATTTTTCATAACGTCCTCTAATGTTTTCGCCTTGCGTGTCGTTGGAGAATTGTATATTAGGATCTCTGGAAAATCAAATTATATAAAGTAAATGTGCTATTCTTAATGTATAAAATCAAGTTATTCAATTTATGCAAGAATTTATAAGAAAAAGATTTTTTTTAAAGTATTTTCCTTCCCTTATGATGCAAATATTATGAAGTTATTAAAAGTAATTTATCCTGAAGCAAAATATTTTCGAACATTCTAGTGAGCTATTAAAGAACCAAATTAGCTAATATATTACCTACCTATAAAATGGATGATGATAGTAGTTATCAAATCATTATATCATTGGAATTTTTGATATAATTTTATATCAAAAAATAAGAACTAGATAACCAAATGAATGTTCATAGTAAATCTTAGATCGATAAAAATAATCTTTAAATTTCAAACGGAGCTGATTTTAAAATTTTAAGCATTAAATGTGAACTTTTTTTAGAGTTGTGATGCTTCAATTTTAGTATCACATAATAAAGTTAATGATTTAATTTCTTTTGTACAAATATGGCGAGAATGTCTGAATCATTAGTTTGAGAATCAAACAATCAAATTTGTATAAAGAGTGAGTCTGAACATGACGACAAAACTTCACTGGTTGACAGAACGTATGAGCACAAGCAATAACCGATATAGAATTTAAGATAGGTTCAAGGGTTAAGAGGTAATTTTCTACTGTTCCATTTAAAGAATTAACACGAGAATGGAAAAAAGATGCTTCAAAAAAGTATTCCGTCATAGGATTATGATTGATGTATAAAGAAATTGCTTAAAAAAACATGTAGCTGATGTACGAAGAATTGCGCCAAGAAATTACTTGCTGTTTTCACAAATGTACGACACTCCCTACGCAGCAGGTGTGAAGCAGCAGCTTGCATTGCAGCTCAGAGAAGATCTTTTGAGAAATTACTTTGGCCATCTTTTTGAACAATTCTTTGAATATTTTGTTAAACAATCTGCTTGTAAAATAATCATATTCTCATGAAAAAAAGTTTTTTGAAGCATCTTTTCCCATTTTTATATTGATTCCTTAAATTTGACTTCGTAAAACTACCTTTTAAATTACTCGTATCACTGCTTGTGTTCCGATTCTAGGACGAATATTGTCAATATAGGATGCGCCTATCACCCAGTAGAGTTTTGCGACTTTTTTAAACTCACTCGAATCGTTATTGAACTTATTCATTTTTAACACAGGTCCTTATTATGGATAGTTACGTTTTTGTCACTTTATTTATGCCTTGATTTAGTAATTCTGACAATATTAGATAGTAATTATTATCAACACTCTAAAATAATATTTCCTAACTAACTAAGTGTTCTGAACGCATCTAAATTGGCGGCTGGTGGAATAATATATCTAAAATTGAACAGAAAAGTCTAAAGCTAAGGATTTATATCTGTTCAAGTTACAGATATCTCTACGAGAAAACACAGATGAAGATTCAAATGAAGTTTCAAACTCTACAATGGACTCGTCCTAAAGAAAATGAACTAGAATTTATTCACATATCAGAAAATAAATAAAAAGTGTTTCAGAAGAGATAACTTTACCCGCTTTTCGCAAAGTTTGTCCACTGTAGCATAACTATTTCAGATAAAGATGCTTCCGACTTTGAGTAGTTCGTTGCAAAGTGGGCCAAAGCAGTGACTAGAGGGGCGCCAAATACGTATGCTAGATCTTCACCCGTTACGCAACCTAATCTGGACGAATAATCACCAAATTCAGTTTGATATCCAAATATGTAGAAGTAACTTTTCTTTTCTCCCGAGGAAGAAGGGAAAGTGAACGTGTCTCTGAAATGACTACTGTGGAAGGATCCAACTCTTATGATGGGGGCTACGACTAGAGCATCTCCAATTGCATCAATTGTTCCATCAAAGATATCACTTGAATGCAGAAAAGCTCGTGACCAATCCATGTATTCATTCACAATTGTCAGAAATATCTAAAATAGTTAATAAATTGGTTTACATAATATTTAATATAGTACAGTGAGCAAAAAATTAAACAAAGATAAAAAAAAAAAAACATAGAACCACTCTGAATGACTTTTGATCAATTGATCGCGGATCTTTACGTTCTAGGACTTAATCTAAATAACTCGAGGGAGAAATTTCAAACATGCTAATTAATAAGTGTATACGATATTTTGAGTTATGAAATCAGACACAAAAACGCACTTTCTCTGGTTAAACACTCCTGTTTTTTTGACGGATTCGAATTTCTGACAGCCGAATTATAGGAGATAGACCCAATTTGTGAAATATGGTCAAAATAGTTTGGTCACAAGAGCTCTCCAAAATTCGGATCCCTTAATAGTAATTTCACTTTTTGCGTATTTCGCTATATCTGAAGAACTCTCTAATTGATTGGAAAATTTTTTGCGTGCAATCATAAAATTCGCTTTTCCAACGATAAATCCATTCAAAAAATATCCTTTAATAAATATTCATTAATTCCTTTAATAATGAAAAGATGCACCTCAAATTTTAAAAAAATTGGTAAAAAGTAAACACGCCTTGAGAATATACTTATAAAATTCATATAAAGTTTAATTTTAAAAAGTGAAAAATTTAATTTACTTGATAGTTGCTTTGAGTTGAAATTTAACTCGCAATTTTCATTGTTTCCTGAAAATTGAATTTTGGAGAAAAAATGAAATTCCCATATTACTTTTATTGATTTTCTTGTTTTTAAATTGCACGCATAAAATAATATTACAATATCTTACACGTTTACATTACAAAGCGGAACTTATATTTCGTATCTTTCTAAAATTTTATTCATTATTTTATTTTATTTTTTCATTTTTGAGTTTTATGTAATTGCGTATCAGAAATTTCAATCTACTAATACAATCGGCTTTCAAACGATCTTTCTTATGTAATATTAACAAGATATATTTAAAAAATGCATTTTTAAATATAAAGATAATGTTGGAATACGTATTCTAATATAAAGGAAAATTATAGAAGCGTAAGGAAAAATTTTAATAATGAAGTTTGAAAATTTCAAGATTTATTTTGAAAAGAAAATATCGCATTTTAAACCAAGTGATAGTTTTGCAGATGAATAAAACTGCGAAAAGGATTTTCCAATGTAAAAAGACTTGTATATTCACCTTTATTTAATAATGGAATGGAAATTGTTTCGTAAAAGTCTGCTGTACAAAAATAGTAAACATTTTTATAAATTCTTTTATGCAATAATGTTAAGATAACAAACGATTTTAAGGAAAAAAAGAAATACATTCCTAGAAGGGTCAAGAATGTCAAGTGACCTGTAGCATGATTCTGGCAATGTGGTCAGCATTACGCACAAAGTCTCCTTTACTTAACAAAAATGCTGGTTCAGAAATATTAGCTATTTAATATTACACATATTTTGGCTTTTGTGAAAGGCTGCTTCTCAAAAAGCAAACTATAGACAAGATTGCAAGAGACTGGCGAAAAAATAGTGTTAAGAGCAATTGAAAGCCATGGGACAAATTCAAGTAAAAACAAAATTTGAATCTTTTTAACTTATTTCATTGCATAAGTATTATTAAATTATCATATAGAAACACAAGACAAAAGTTATGTGTTTGATTTATTTAATTTAAATATAGGTAAGTACGTTATAGCTTACATATGATCGGACTATATCATGAAGAACCTGCAACATAGCATATATAACGCATATATTCAGCATATAATTGATTAAAGTTATGACTTGTGAATAATCTAAATGTTTAAAGAAATTAAACAGTTGGCTTACGCTATAAAAGAGAAAATAAAGTAGTACTCTCTTCTGACAAAAAGTACTTGAATGTGTTAAAAATTTTAAATTGTTAAGCTGCAAAACATATAATATTTGTAAAGTTATTTAAAACCGAATGAGAAAAAAATCTCACAAGGATTTTATTTAAGGTTGACTTTTTCTGTTGAAATAATTAAAAGTTAAGCTTAATCTCTTACTTGGACGCTTTAAAAAGTATTTAGGAAAAACCTTTAATTTTTGTATTATTAGAACGATTGGTGTGAAAGTTCAAAATAATATTTTTTTTGTGGTACCACAACAGCGTCAGAACTAGTTTTTTCGAGAAAAAATTACATAAAATATCTTTAAATGTTATTAAATAATCTAAACACCTTTTCTATGTTACTAAGAAGCACTAAATAGAACACATGCTTTATATTTATTCATTTACTGATACAATATAAACGCATGCAAAGGTCATATCTATTAAAAACCATATTAACTCAGCTTATTTCACTACAAACCTCTTGCAGATGATATGTAAAAAGATTTCGCACCATTGTCCTTAATATTCTATCTCTCCTATTACTATCTATACCAAATTTTTCTTCGGTAGCTGAAAATTGAAAATAGTGCTCTACTCTTGTTGCACCGAACATCAAGTCATATTGTGTGAATAGTGCCGGATTTCTTTCCATTGTATCAGCTGGATCTTCAGGGAGAACGATTCCATCGACTGTTGGCCCAAAAGCTGATATATAATCTGGTGCATCTATTTCTACTTCCATAATATCCTGTAAGTCTCTTTTGCGCAAACATTCTACCAGTGCAGTGCTGTCTTGAGCAGGGCAGTCGAGAACTCGAGCTATATGAAGTGTATGGGTGATAGTGTCTCTAGCAATCGCCCATGGGCTTAATGCAGATCCACTGTGCATTATAGCCCTTTGGAACAAACCTAATAAAGAGAAAAAATGCTTTTTCTGATTGTAATTTTAGCATTTACAGAAAATTTTACGTTTACAGAAATGTATATGTTATATTTATATTTATTTATAACTTAGATGCAATATCTAGAAATAAACGCAACTACTGCTTTTCAGAATCCATTTACTTCTTTTCTGAATCCATCAACGGTTTTGAATCCATTTTCAAAATTACATTGTTTTTTAACCGCTTACAATTAACATGGTTTAAAAACCGCAAGAAACAAATTTTACTGGACATGGGAGCAATGTTTGAAGAAGAGTTATGTTTTATCAAATTAACCGTGGAATGTGGCTAAATTAGTTTATTTACTTTTTTCACCTCTCATGACATATGGAAAACGGTAGACTTTTTGTGTTAAGAAGCTTTTTGGTGCTGCCATCTATGCGTGAATGAGAGCATCGTTTTCTGAGAGTTCAGGGTCACAATATGGGGATTGCAGGACATTGAAAATTCTGCCTGTGTTGAAGAGGACTGTGAATATAGCGTCAACGCTGGGCGTCAAATTGTAGTCCTGTCTGCCAAGAGATTAATAGATTAGCCCTAATCAGTTATAATATGTACCGAGCTACAAGGAATTAAGTGCCTTCATTAGGTGGGCCTCTACTTGTTGTTGCGATGAAATTCTGGCTGTTTAAACGTATGAGGTAAAACCGCTATTAAAAGGTTTTTATCACAGTTAACAGTTTGAATGTCATCTTATTCATGGTCATTTAATTGCTTTGTTTGAAAACGGTAAAATAACAAGTACGTAAATTATTGGTTAACAATTTTATCCGAGATATTTCAAACAGTGAAAGCTGTGCTATAATTTCCCAATTTGTTTAGCATCTTTATTATCACGCAAAATATGAAACATGGATGTTTCATTAATGAAACATAAAAAATTCAATAGTTAATTTAATAAAATGTCTGCAGATTTTTCTTAACAAGTGTAGAAAAATATGACCCAAAGGAGTTTGATAGGTTTGTATTTACACAAGGAATTTCATCCAAAAGCCAAAAGGAAAGAAGGACAGATTAATTCAATCACTGGGAAATTTGTGGTGAAATATCTCTTCAAATTTCGTGTTGAAAAATCCGGGAAGTAGTGGGATGGAACACTTTTTTCAAGTTAACACCAAATAGAGCTTTCATATAAAATTTAAAGAACATAAATGAATCCAAACTCATATAATGGAAGAAGCTTTCACTTAGATCACGCGTATACATGTCTACATTATGTATGATGGGTGTCCAATTTTTTACATGACTTGAAAAATATAATTTACTAATTCCTAGCGGACAGTAGCTTTAATGTTTTTTTTCATGTTTGCCACCTTAAGTTCTGCCATAGACCGGCTATAGACCGGAACTTCTCTCATTTGGCCTAATCTGCTCTACTGAGTGCTTATCTCTCATTATCTCATCATCATCGCTCTTTTGCGAATAGAGATGAAAATAAATAAATACATAAAATAAAAAAGGAGCTGACCATTAACGACATGCGTCTATCATCTAAAGAACATCTCCTTGTAGAATTTGCAAAAAGAAATGGAGGCATATTACTTTTATCCAAAATTATTACATATTATCCAAAATTTATCTTGGTCTACCAGTTCTAGTAGAGAAAGGCAGTAAATAAGTTTGCTGCATTTCTAGCTATTTATAAAAGTACATACATTCACCCTGGGTAAGGTTAGGTTATGTTTTAACATAGCTGAAGCTGATCAACACCATTTATGACTCTCCATTTCATTTTTCTGACTATTTTAGAATCTTTGCTTTTTCTTCGTAAGTATATTTTTGCATACATATATTTTAATATGTATGCTTCGTACTTATTGATATTCTTTGTATCTATTTGAGGGACAAAATCATAGTTGTTTTATTTAAATTGGACACACATTTGCTCCCATAGTGATTTTGATGATAAACTCTATTTTATAAAAACAAAACTGTAAAATATGCTTTTTACGTTCAGTGACCAATCAAACTAATATTTTCATCAGATTCAATCTTCATACAGAAATTTGGAAGTTCAATCTCGTCGAAAAGGGGTCAATAAGTGTATTGTGGTCAAAATATATAATTCGACCCTCATAGACACGAAAACAAATTAATAAGATCATAGTTATAAAAATACACACTTACTTAAATCAGAAACAATACTTTTCATATCATTATTTTTCTCATGAAGTGCCTTTTTGGTATTGAATTTTCGAATTAGAAATCAAAGGTAAATAAGGGGTAGCATGTTAATGTCCTTTTTTCGATAGAATAGCAAAAGGTATAATACTTGTATGTTTTAATTAATATGAAATCCGAAAAAAAGTTTCGGGAGTGCTAAAATTTCATTCTGGCATGTAATGTGTGGTCTTACATGCTCATTAACGGTTAGCAAAAAAATATGAGGTTTTCTCAATCCAGGAGATACAAACATATTTATTTTTATAGGCTTTTATATTCCAGTAATAGTAGTTCAATAGGTCTGGATTAGTTACTTTTTATGATATGTATTTTCTAATGACCTTTTCTTATCTCCTATATTGCAGGAAGCCTGCAAAGAACTATTATTTTGGCAATTGACAGAATCGCGCTTTTAGCGCGGTACCAATCTTCTTAATTTTTTTAAGTTTAAGTCAAGAAATTTCAGGAAATTGTGCATTTAATTAACTCCGCTAAAACCTCTAACACCTCTAACCACCACTAACATTCATTACAGCAATAAATATTGAACATATTAACTAATTAAAAAAATTTAGTACTGAAAAACTACATTCTGTAATGATTATAAATATTGTTTACAAGTGATGCTATATATTTGAAATAAACTAAATATATTTTACCTCTAGCCATAGGAGATAACATTAACAAATTGACGCAAGCAGCTCCGTATCCGTGTCCAAATATAGTTACATTTCCAGTATCACCTCCAAATTCCTCTATATTCTCTTGAATCCAGTGTAAAGCCGCTACCTGATCCATAAGCCCATAGTTACCTCTTGCAGACCTGTCTACTGCTGGTAAGAAACCTAAAATAAACATTGATTTTATACGCGCGCTGCTGAAATAGAATTAGTCTTAAGTAAAGTTATATTTCTTTTACTACATATAACGTAAAAAATCTTTTAAACACTATCTTGACTAAACATTGCAGTTAATCTAGAAAGTCTGAAAAGGCCCTTCGCAGATTGTTTACGCATAAATCAATTAGACTTTTTATATCTTGAAACATAATGAAAATTAATTTAATAAGAAAATTATTAAAGACTCGGTCGTTCAAATTCTTTTGTATTTTATTTGATTTGTTAAAAGAAAATATTTTATTAAACGGAACACAGACTTTCCAATTATACTAATACATTAGTTACTTAGATAATTACGTTTTCTTGTTCTCCATAAATAATAATTGAATATATCTTGAAAACGAAGAATAATACGGAGATATCCTATACGTACTAAAGGGTACCTTATACTTAAACAAACCTGAGTTAATTGAGTATCAGCGAAAATACGTATAAAATTCTATAAATAAGTTCCTACAGGGTAAATATATGAATGATTAAATTGTAAATTAGATAAAATTATTAAATTATCTGAAAAGTTCAATACTTTCAAAAAGTTATTTTTTTAATTCAAAAGCATTTAAAAACCAGAGTGGCCAAAATGACCCTGTGGTCTTTTCAGTTGAAAAAACAGTTGTTTAATATAATCCTTAGGTTATATTTCTAATATTTCAAAAACTTCGATCCATATTTTGAATTATTCATAAAAAAATTTATCTGAAATTTTATTTCATAAAATTAACATTAATGCCAATGTTTCTGAAATCTCTTTTTATGCTAACTTCTTTTTTTAATTTAAAATTTAATTTTGTGCTAGTAATATTCTTGATTCTATGCTAAACACGCTGATTTTTCTTTTAAATAGTTCATGGTAAACTCATTTTATTTCAATCCCTAGTAATATTTAGATCATCTGAACATGCATTGAAAGCAAACTTTTATGGGTTGAAAAACTTCTTTATTATCTATTCATTAAAGTTTTGACAAGAGTGACTTGGTGTAGCAAATTGGAGGAGAATTTGACAAATCAAATAAAATTCTAAACAAAATGCTTCAATAAATGCGTATTTTTATACCTGGCGATTTTAAAATCAACTAAAAAACTAAATTTTTCGGTCAATAAAAAAATTAAAATATTAAATATTTTAGTTACATCAGTTAGCATCACCCAAATCCATAAATTAGGTTGCCAAACCTTAATTATTCCATCTTAAAATGCTTACATAATTTAATAAATGCTGTTAAAATTTTTGTTTGGATACATTGGACAAGGCTCCAAAAGGTTTTAAATTAGATTCTTATTCTAACACGCGCTTTCAAAAAGAGCAAAATAAGATTTTTTTTGTCTCGATCAATATTTTGTTAAAATGTATCGATTTACATCCCATAAAAATCTTACTAAAGATTAAAAATAAAGAACAAGATAGAATCGTTTTCGTATCCTTTATCCCCAGTGGTACAAAAAAAAAGGTATACGCTCAATTTTATTTGCCAAGTGTTTTGAAAAAGATATCAGAAAGAGCAATTGACTGTCATACTTTTTGGTAAACAAGGAAGAGAAAAATGAAGGTGCCTAAATGAGACCTTCAAGATTTCATATACAAACCCAAAGAACCACAACGGAAGAAAATAATAAAAATCCATACATTCCAATACATCTATTCTGTGTATGATAAAACCTAACAATATCCATATTCATGTCTCATAAAATGCATCAAGCGACTCTCTATCTATTTTAGATGGATATCCGATAACCCATCTTGCCGCCTCTATTCCTTCTATGATACGATAGAAACATATTGGTCCTCCAGCAAAGATAGAGAAGACGTCATTCTAAAAGGGTAGCCATTCACGGATGGAAACGAGAAATTCGAGAATGGCACNAAAAAAAAAAAAAAAAAAAAAAAAAAAAAAAAAAAAAAAAAAAAAAAAAAAAAAAAACAGCGTGCTAAAGAGAGAGATAAGAAAAACAGCTGTTTTGATTTTTTGATTCTGTATTGGATAATCTGGATTGGATTGGCCGTTTAAGTCCAGTGGTTAAATAATCGGACTCTGATTCAGAGAGGCTGAAATTTGATACTTGACTCAGCTAAGACCCACCGAGTACATGCGATATAACGTGATCGGTAAATCTGTGGATTCGGAGTCCCATGGCCGATCGCTGATCAGTACCATAGGAACAGGGATCAGGAGAAAATTTTCTTCCATTTCAGATTGATAAACTAAATTGAGTTGATAAACTAACTTAAACTAAATTGAGGAATTGACCTCACGAATGAGTGCTGCTGCCATCTATCCGTGGGGTACTGTGCCAATTCGTACTTTTATCCTTGCAATGATCTATTGTTAAACGAAGGGCTTAATTTGCAAGCCCTATGGCTGCCAAACTTGACTTGTCTCAGTGTTATTCGTAACAATAACACAACACACAACATAAGACACCAAATCCCGCAAATGTTCCTTCACATTTTCAGAGAAAAACAGATATAATATAGAGTTGATTGAATTACAAAAGAGTTAAGAGTGAAAGAATATATTTTAAATTTACTTACCTAAAACACCTAATCTGTAATTTATAGTAACAACTATTACATTTCCATAACTTGCCAAAACACGTCCATCATAAGGATTTCCTGCATTCCATTCATATGATTCACCATGAATATAGACCATCACAGGCAATTTTTGAACTTCTTTTTTCACTGCGTGAAAAAAAAATGTTTACTGTGAAAAAAAATTGTATCTTCACATAATAACACGCAAAAGCAATTTTAATAATGATTTTTTTTTTAAAATTTCATTGAATAATAGTAGAAAGATATCAATTTAAAACATTTGCATATAAAAAATTTTTACAACTTTTTTACGTCAATTTAAATAATGTAATTTCGTATGGTAAAATAAGAAAAGAAACAAAATCAGTCAAATAGCTCCTGAGAAATCAATTTTCTTAAAATTTCTCCTGAGTAAGCATTTGATCGATTTCCCTTCAATTTTGTATTTCGTCAAATAAATTACATTCTTTAAAATGATTAAAAAAATTTATGTCTTATAATTCAATTTTTTCCTACTATTATCAAATGAAAAAAAGTTCATGCAAATTATTTATTTCATAGAATTTTCTTTGGATAAATAAATTTTATTACTGTGTGCAAAGCATTTTCGATTCACTTAATTCAGAATTTATCGAGATATTTAGAAATACGCAAAAATTAAAATTAACATTAATTAGTCCAAACATCGGAGCGTTATCCTGTCCAAACTATTTTGACTATACCATCCAAATTTCAATTAGACCTTATAATTTGGGAGTCAGCAATCACAATTCATCTAAAAAGGTGCGTCTATTCAGGAAAACTGCGTTTTTGTATCTAATTTCTTAACTTAAAATATCGTCTGTTCTAATATTATCTAAGTAGGATATTGCAGGTCACCACTTGAAAATCCGATCATTAGATCAAAAGTTAGTCAGAGTGATTCGTTTTTTTTTTGGATCACTATACACATAATATATGGAAGCATAATATATTACTATATGCTGAATGAACGGTTTCAGTCCTGATAGTTATTCTGTAGGAAATCTAAATGAAATATACGTTTCTGTTCTAAATATTAGAACTTAAACGTACATTTTTGAACTGTATTAGTCTTCTTTGGTCAAATTCTTAGTTTTTTAAATTAAAAATGAAATTTCCCAAAGATTTTTTTCCCAACATAGATATAAAGACATTTAAAAAATAGAACAAGGAAGATTTTCATGACTTTTTTTACAGTGAAAGACTCCCCACCCTATCTACCAGGCTATAACCCAATAGATCTTTTCACTTTGTCCCTCTTGGAGACAAGGATCAAATCATTGTGTTAAGCCTCATAAGACTTTGTTATCCTTTGATATGTTTGGCGTTCAAGGGACCGGGTGCGAGGAATAGAAGAGATATCAGGAGGTGAAATATTACATAGAACAAAAAAATGCGGCGACATGTTTACAACATTCGGTAAAGAGGGAAAATGGTAATTTAGAAAATGAAATTATGTTACCGGAGTTTTCACTTTTTTCACTTTCATTTAAAGTATTGGTTGTGCTATTTTAAGGAGTAGTACAATATTTTATTATATTATTCTCGGTTGCTTCTTGTAATGCTGCAACTTTTAACAAATAAATAATTTTAAGCTGCAGAAACAACAGATTAAAATTGAAATGGAAATGCATTTTTCACTTTTTCTACATGCTTTTTTTTATTATATCTTCAATAAGTTTTAATAAAATCGAATTACTGGTACGAAAATATTTCGACAAACGCATGTTATATTTATAAAAAAAAGTAAAGAAAAAATAATACAAAAAGTAAAACAATATACTGCTTTCTACTATCAAAGCTTCAAAAACAAAAGTTAAAAGAATTTCATTTGTTTTTTGTTTTAGAAACGTCGCCTACCGAAGCTTTATTGAAAACAACAAGATATGACAAATGATCTCAAAATATAGAGTAAGAACTTTTTTTTTAGTATTCTTTTCATGAAACAAAAAGTATTCTTCAGCTGGTGAACAGAATTTTCAATCAGCTGGGTTATTTGTCGGATTCTATGTTATACTGAATCCTTTTTTGCATTTTTCTATACTTTAAACTACCCATTCTTCTTTTCTCTTAGCTACAAAAAACTGTTGTCTTTTGAAATATTTTTGTTATTTATGGATTCGAGAAAGTTTTTCTTATACCTCTGCAAAAATTTATTGCTCTATTTTTGTGAAATGGAATGAAAATAATAAACTTTTTTTTCTTTCTTTTTTCTTTTTTTAAACCTTTCCTTGAAAAGAAGCATGTTTCACGGTTTATGTTGAATATCGATATCATTTATGCATGAGGTAAATTTTTATTTCCAATTTCAAGCCAAAAGTCATAAACCATTCCTATAAAGTCTATTGTTCTTCGAAAAGAAATAAATAATAATTATTTTTTTCAAGAGCAAAAGTAGTATTTTATTTAATGATGCATCTCAAAGGATAGGGAAAAAGATGAAATAGGTCAAAAGAAAATACATAAGGAATTGAAAATTTATACGTCTCATGTAAAAATTGTTTGAATGTCGCAAGATTTTATGTTAGTCAGATACATTTTATGACGTCTTGCAGTAAACTAATTCACACTTATTTTTGCGATTATTTCCATAACACTTTGTTTTTTCAGATCTAAGACTTTTGAACTTTTAATGCAGAGTTTAATTTTTTTTAAGAATACTTAACATTTTAAATTACCAACAATAATAGCAATATCATTGACAGTTTGCATTATTATTTTAAAAAGTTTAAATTAATCTCATCGTAATTTATAAAAAATAATTTCCAAAATTTCCCTTTAATACTCTCATTATTAATGATCTCTATATACGATTTATATCTTAATAGTATTTTTAATGACAATAAGTTACAATAAAAATGTGTTCTTAAAAAGGCTGTGCATTTGTTATTTTATTAAAGAAATGGAAACAGATTTTTTTTAAAAATGTTCTAATATGGTTTTTAGAGTAGAACTATTTAGTGTAATAAAAGATAAAGAATTCTTTTCTTTTCATTAAAATTTGATAATTAAATAAAATTATTTTCTCTTTTTTTACTGTTAAAATCAGCTTAGTACAAGATTTCGATAAAAAATAAAATTTAATTATATAACATAGATTATAAGATGACACCATAAATCTCAGAATTATGCAGTTTTGTGTTTTGAAGCAATATTTCTGAAATGAATTACAAATAAATATTTATCACACAAAATACAAATAAAATATAAATTACAATATAATTCATTTAAACAATTTTGAAATTTACAATTTTACCAAAAAGCAATACCGTCAATAAATTCACTTTCAAGTAGCATTTTACTCACTGATCAACTACATAGTAAAAATAATTGAAAACTATCAGAATTTTGAAATCCTTAAGTAATACACTAATTTATAATCATTTGTATTTAAATTTATGCAATCTGTAGCTTTTGTTGAAAATAAGAGATGCTCAAAATGCAATATAAATCATTCTCTTCACTAGGTTGGTATATGTTTATTTAATAATGGGGATCATTGGTGCTAAAGATTATTGTAACTAACCTCTAAACATATTTATATGTGTGTCATGCATTCCATTGATATGTTTTATTGATTAATAATCTCTACATGAAAGTTCAGACTAAATAAGGATCAAAGCTCAAATGTAAATTTGTTTCCATTGTTTGAGTTCCCTCTTGTCTTCAAATGAGACCGAAATCTTCGTCGCCTAACTTATTACGCCAATATTTATCCCGAACACCACGGGGTCTTAAATTGAAATCCTTTCAACAGCTGGATTAATCTGATATACTTGTGTCATTAATTTACGATTTAAGCTCCCATTACTGGAAATCTGTCAAGCATAAATGTGATTTATTATCGCTGAACGGGCATTAACAGGCTTTCGAAAATCGTATAATACACGGGGGCGCCAGGCACATATGTATATGTGGTTGTTGTTTGAAGTCCCTCAATATCCAGCTTACTCAAGAGGTTAAATTCCAAGGACGTACTTCTGTTCTTGACATAAGATTAAGCGAAAACCCCAACTAAATGAAACTTGACCGAGGGATTTGTTTTAGATTCCTAAGTCGCGTAGAATTCAGGTTGTTCTTTCGTAACCAGTTGTTGGTACTTACTATAAAGGAAGATACTTAGAAAATAATCCCACTTTCGAAGAAGTGCTGTTGTTGAAGAATAGAATTACTATTAACGGAGGATAATTAATTTTGACAACAGTTGCCGCTATTATTCTTTTGTTGCTGAAGGTGCAATGGATGCGTTGTGGAAATATAATTACAATGTAACATTCATTTTCATCTGTTGTTTTCGTTTTTTGTGACCATGAATTTGAGCTTAATGTTATAGGAAAAAGAAATTCACTTCAAATGATAAGGAAAATATCTGTTAACTTGGGAGGACGCCAGGGGTTCATTGTATGACTTCATGTGATTTATTCCTAGAAAACTGTTCATCCCTTTTGTATTAGTAGATGAAATTCTCCTCTTCATCTGCCTTTTCTGAATAATTATTTCTTGCATTTTTCGTTCCCAATAGAAGTTTTATCTGTCATAGAATGACAATGTGCGTCTTTCTGCTTGAGTCTACGAATCAATTTATTTCGCGTTGCGGAGCAGTTTTTTGTTCCCGATGAATGTGATTTCTATTTGTTTACTATTTTTATTGAAGTTTTGGGGCCCGGAAAAGCCTGGTCGGTAGGGTGCTGGAACCATGTAAAAAAGTTCGTGGATTTGAACCCCACCGGCATTCCTTTTGAGAATTGTTATTTTGGTGACTGATACGCGTCAAATCTGTCGAGTCGCTAAGTCCTCCATGTTCCCATAACAAATCAATACCTCTGGGGGTACTGGATTGGAGATTGATAGTTTTCTGATTCAAATTCAAATTACGATCCGTGGATGAATAGATGCATGAATGGGTTCACCCTATAAACGGGTGTGACGTATGGGTGTGACAGAAATCGAATTCTTGGCAATAGATGGCGTCACTCGAAAAAGAGAACAATCGTACCCCTTTAACAGCGCTCATTTTTCACCAAATTAGATGGAACGGAAAAAATTGAAAAAAGAAAAGGGCGTTTTGTTTCTTTTTTTAAATTGTGGTAAAAATTTTTACTAACAAAATGTTCGATAAAAATATTTAAA